TGGCAGCAGCTGTGGCCTGGCTTAACTGTTTTTCACTGAGCTCCTTCTGCTTGGCCTCCTTCTCTGCTATTTTCTTCTCGGCTTTCAGGCGTCTCTTTAGCTCACTGTCGGGAAGATGCAAATGTTCAATGTGACAGTTGCCTGAATAGTACTCTGCTATGTTCTGCCCCACAACCACTTATCAAAAATATGAACAGCCTAGGGGGAAATGCTCTTGCCTGGTTCTACACCCCTACTTCTAGTCTCTTAGTCAACTCTACAGGTGAATTAAGACAAAGGAAAAGTAAGCTTAGAATAAATATGTAAAAAATCTTTCTCAGCCTTGGCTTTCCAGTGTGAGATCCCAACTAAAATCAAGATACCCCAGGACAAAGAAAAACCAAAAGAGGCAACATCTCCAGCTCTGTCTGCCATACCTCTCTACAGCTCTCCAAGGGTTAGTTTGGGGTAGGACAGGGTGGGGGAGAGGTGGCTCTTAAGAGTTCAAGGAGACACATCACTGACAATCTTTCCCTCAGCATTGGTCAATACATTGACAATGGCCCTCAGTATTGGTCTGCCTACTGGAGCTTGACTTTGACAACAAACTGGGCAGAACAGTGTATAAACCAGCATAGAGTAGGGCATAATATAACATCTTTAGAGTCAGACTGCCTGGGACTAAATTCTGACACAGCTGTCTAGCAATTATAAGACATTGGATGAGTGACTTCTCCCCATCTATAAATGGAAATAACAGAAGATACTCCCCTCCCCAAATACTATGAGGACCGAGATGACCCTGCCCTTAGCATTTAGTAAACACGCAAATGTGAGATATCCTAGGTATCTTTCCCTATCTTAAACACTTCATTCTCTGCACCCAGGACAGAAATCTTAGATTTGGATACATTTCTGGTCCCTCACTACCTACACTCTGATCTGAAATCTTGGTATCTGAACCCAGAAACCAAACAGATTTGCATAGAGGATATCCTCAGTATTCAAATAGAATTGATCATTCAATCAAACCACCAATGTTTTATCAAGTATTCTTAATAAAAACCATGGCAAATGATACCAAGTCATGCTTGCATATTATCTGGCTTTTGGGCAAATTCTTAATTTTCAGTATGAATTTAGAGTAAGTCAATTAAAAAAAATTAACTGATGATTTGAAATAATCATTTTTAAGTAAGAAGACTGACTCTGAGGGCTTCAAAGCAGGTGTCTCTGGATGTAATCTGTCTTGTAACAGTTGTGAAGACAAACATTCCAGAACTGTATGATAGGCCTATTGTGCTGTATGTAACTCCGTCAGTAGGCACTGGAGCCATTTGTTTTTTCCTAGCATTAACATAAAAAACCCTGTTTTTTTCCATTCAACTAGGTATTGTTCTTTAAATCAAATTAATCCTAAGGAAAAATCCAAAAAGGTCCTAGAGATAGAACAAAGACTAGAAACCAAATTAATCTCATGAGCAAACCAAGTCCAGAAAGACAAGAAAGGGAAAATAACGTTTGTTCTCAACACTGTTCTAGTATAAGATGTACAAGTAACCTCAAGGATCTACAGTGAGAATCTGAATTTATTAAAAAAAAAATGAGAAACAACTATTGGTTTTCATAGTGGAGCTCTGTTTTCTTAGCAACAAGTCCAAAGACTTAGCCAGGGGCTTAATGGGTAAGGACCTAAGTAAGGGAAGGATTTTTGCTCCCATAGCAACAACGAAGGTAAGGGCACCAACCTTCTTTTATCAGAAAGTGGCTTGTCCTTGTGAAGCGCTGTGAAAGGAGCAAGTTGATACAGTCGCAGCTCCCTCTGCCCCCACTGTGCCCAGGAGGTTTGGCGCAGGGACCCCCTAACAAGCCTTACAGCAGCTTGCGTCAACATGGCAGAACACCCCGGAACTAAAGATTACCACCACCTAACAGGAAACAGAGATGTGGTGTCAGATGGGACAAAACAGTATATATACACCCAACCAGCACTCCTACTCTTATGGGTGTGGGGCAGGGGGAGGTTGCACAACCTTTAAGTGTTCCGCTGAAGACCCTCTTAACTGACAACAACCCTGTAACACTCACTATGCTGCAATCTGACAATGTTCTGTCCTTGCTATGGTAAAAAAGGTACATATCTGGGTCAAAACTCAAGAGCAAGGCAATCAACAGTTTATAGGTAGAAATGATCACAACGATCCAGAAAATAGGGAGACAGGACCAGAAGCAGTGTTTCTGAAGCCCCTGACATGTGGCTTCTCTCTTGGAGATTAAATACCTGGCCACAAAGATGGCAATGGGAAGCATATGAAATATCACTGTCAATTGCAAACCCTAGATGAAGCTAAAAGCAAGCCACACAAAAGCACCTGAGTCAAAGATAAGATTTGTTTGAGCTCTAGGAACAAAGAGGAAAGTAGAATTTGAGGAAGGATCCTGGACTACATTAATTTGACCTTTCATTTGGGAATGAGTCACTTGGCAGGCAGCCCATCTGTTTTTAAACTTGTTGAAAATAACTGGCATAACACGGTGCTCACTAAAGATGCAGACTGAGGAAGTCCCAAGAAGAATTAAGATACAGAAGGAAATGTTAATCATTAAAAAAATTATTTTAGCCCCTTGGTCACTAGAGGAATATACATCAACCGCAGATTTTTTAAAGACAATGTGAGGAGGTAAGGTGCAGGCAGTGTAAAGAGCATGGGCTGTGGAGTTCTGGACTTGGTTTTAGATCTCTGCTCCAGAGCTGAATCAGTGACAGACCACATTTTAGGTATGCACACTTTAGCAATGTGTATTTAGTCACTCAGAGCCTGTTTATTAATTTGAAAAATGGACATTAATACTTTCCTTGCCAGGTTATTTTTTTTTTTTTTTAAGATTTTATTTATTTGCGAGAGAGAGAATGAGAGACAGAGAGCATGAGAGGGAAGAGGGTCAGAGGGAGAAGCAGACCCTCCGCTGAGCAGGGAGCCCGATGTGGGACTCGATCCCGGGACTCCAGGATCATGACCTGAGCCGAAGGCAGTCGCTTAACCAACTGAGCCACCCAGGCACCCCTTCTTTGCCAGGTTATTCTTGAAATTAGAAAGTTTATATAGTTCTAGCATAGTGTCTGACACATAAAACCTGCTTTTAAAAAGTGGTAGCTGTAATTAATCTAGAGGAAGTCAGTAGAAAGGAATTAGCCAAATTCCTCCTAAGCAAGGAGGCATTTATGACTTAAAAACCTTAAATTCAATTACAGTTGACCTTTAAACAACATGGGTTTTAACTGTGCAGGGTCCATTTATATGCAGATTTTGTGGGGGGGGAATAAATACAGTATAGCACTGTAAATGCATTTTCTCTTATGATTTTTTTTAAAAAAGATTTTATTTATTTATTTGACAGAGAGAGACACAGCGAGAGAGGGAACACAAGCAGGGGAAGTGGGAGAGGGAGAAGCAGACTCCCCTTGGAGCAGGGAGCCCGATCCGGGGCTCAATCCCAGGACCCAGAGACCTTGACCTGAGCTGAAGGCAGACACTTAACAACTGGGCCACCCAGGTGCCCCATCTTATGATTCTCTTAAAAATTTTTTTTGTTGCTTTACTGTAAGAATACAGTATATATGTAACATACAATATACATGTTAATCAACTGTTTATGTTATTGATAAGCTTCCAGTCAACAGTTGGTTATTCAATTTTGGGGGAGTCAAAAGTTACACTTGAACTTTCCATTATATGGGGGATGGTGCCCCTAACCTCTGAGTTACTCAAGGGTCAACTATACTGATGTAACAGATCAAAGTCTAAGCGATTTTCCCAAAGGCATAAGTCCAAGACTAGAGTCTAAACATAGAGATGCATCAGATACTCTCAGAAGGACAACATAGTGGGTGCTATCAAACATCAACTCAGACGTTTCCTTTCTCATTTTTTTAAGAATATTTGAAGCATAAATCCAGGGACACAAAGGAAAATCAATTTTTACTGGTTAAGTGTCTATTCTATCCGGGTTCAGCAAAAGAACTGAGCCCCAGTGCACTAAGGCAGCCATTATTTGTAATGAATTAACTTTTCTCCTAGGCATCTGGAATAGCACTAGTTATGCACTATCCTTGGGAGTACTGAGAAAACAAATCATTGCCTGTGTTCTGTGCTTCAACTGAAGAACCCTAGTTGAGAGGGAATATATTATATATGCCCAGGAATACAGGACATAACCAATTAACGGAAGGCTAATCTTGATAGATTTATATTTATCTTCACACTCCAAGGATTTGGGTTGGTTAACAAAGATCTATCCAGCAGTGCTCCAAAGCGCAGCTTTAGTGTAACGGCTGAAACAGACAGACTCTACTGTTAGACTTCGGTCATTCACTCAATACTCACAGATCCTTTAAATAACCCATATAGATAGGTGCACAATAGTTTTAGAAAGGATCCATTTAATACGTAAGATTCAGAACAGCCGGGGTGAGGCCAAGGAAAATTTGAAGGTCTTTCCGAAAAGCTCGGGTATTTAACATTTCTCCAAAGGGTAGCGAGGCGTGGCTCAATAAGGAAAGAACGCATTTTTTCAGAGGGAGGGAAGGAAAGGAGTAAGCTTCGCTTTTCTCTAGTCAATTCTCCTTTCTCCAGGAATACGACCACAGGACTCCGCCAGAGCCGGGACCCGAGGCAACCTGGGGGATGTAGTTTCGGGGCGTAGCGGCTACGTCCCGGCGTGGCTGTACCCACGAGAACCGGCAGGAAGGCTCCAGGCAAAGCCGCCTCGGCCGGAGCCTCGACGCGCTTCCTAGCCTGGCCTGTCCGGCCACAAAGACCTTAATAACTTGCGGCCACACTTACTTTTTGCTCAGTTTTGGCTCGCTGCCGTCCACTTTGACCTCAGCCCCGTGCACCGCAGCCATCTTTCCCGAAGGCCCGACCTAAAAGGGACGAGGGTCGCTTAGTAATTTCCAGGTCACGGCCGGAAGCTCCGCCTCTTCCGAGAGGAAGGGGCGGGCGCTCTTGGCGCGCTACTGCTGCGCAGGCGCAGGGCGGGGCTTCGCGGCCGCGGCGTCGGGAACGGCAGTTAGTTCTGTTTTGCTCTGTGCGTCAGAGGCTTGTGTGGGGGCCACTCTTCGGTTACCTGGCCGTCAGCTATGGCGGAGGCGATGGATTTGGGCAAAGACCCCAACGGGCTCACCCATTCCTCGACTCTGTTCGTGAGGGAAGATGGCAGTTCCATGTCCTTCTACGTGCGTCCCAGCCCGGCCAAGCGCCGGGTCTCGACGCTCATCTTGCACGGCGGCGGCACCCTATGCCGGGTGCAGGAACCCGGGGCCGTGCTGCTGGCCCAGCCCGGGGAGGCGGCGGCCGAGGCCTCGGGCGACTTCATTTCCACGCAGTACATCCTGGACTGCGTGGAGCGCAACGAGAGGCTCGACCTGGAGGCCTATCGGCTGGGCTCGGCGGCCGACCAGGCCCCGGAGACGAAGCCCGGTGCCCAGGCCGAGGGGGGCGCCGCCGCGCAGCCCGAGCCGCAGCCGCACGGGGGGCGCATCGCCTTCACGGACGCGGACGACGTGGCCATCTTGACGTACGTGAAAGAAAATGCCCGCTCGCCAAGCTCCGTCACCGGCACCGCCTTGTGGAAGGCGATGGAGAAAAGCTCCCTCACCCAGCATTCGTGGCAGTCCCTGAAGGACCGCTACCTCAAGCACCTGCGGGGCCAGGAGCATAAGTACCTGTTGGGGGACGCCCCAGTGAGCCCTTCGTCCCAGAAACTCAAGCGGAAAGCTGAGCAGGATCCCGAAGCTGCTGATAGCGGGGGTGAGGCCTCTGCAGCGAACGCGGGACCTGCGCTGCACCTGTGCGGGTGGGGGCGGGGCGCCTTCCCCTTTCTGTTAGGCATCCATGTTGGCGCATCTGGTAGAGTCGCCCGGCCTTCCCCCCGCCCCCTTAGACATCCGGGTAAAATTGCACCATTTTCTAATCGCACTTCGATATATTTTTCCAGTAACTGGGGAACTGACGTGGTATGATATTCAAAGGTACACAAAGTCTGTATAGAGATACCCCCCACCTTACCAACCAGCTACCCAATTTTCTTCCCTAGAGGCAGTGTGTTGTTAACCACCTTCTAGGGTGTCTTTTCCAGAAACTCGTTTTAAAAAAATATTTGTGTTCAGATAGATTGAGTATAAGCCTTTTTAAAGGCATGCCAGACCAGTTTATTTTCACGTTTTGGCTTCTATGCGTATTCACAGAAGGTTTCGTCAGTTGTAATGGTCTTCCTGGTCTCGCTCAGGCGAAGTGAGTTTTTAATGCAGTTGAATTGAACGTGGGGATTCAGGTTGGTTAGGACTTAGTGGAAAGCTGTGAAGATGCTTCACTTTTGATGTAACTGGTATTGAGAGCTTAAACTGACAGACCCTTTTGTTGAAAGAAGCATGTCACCCTCCCCCTCTCCCCCGCCCCTTTCCTTAGGTGGCTGGCTATTCCATATAACATTTCAGGTCTGGGGAGGTAAATCTATTTCTCCTGTTAAGCATGCTTAGTAGGAATTTTGTTTTTGGTAAAAGTGACATTTCAGATTCATTCATTCAACAGATATTTGAGTGCCAGACACTGTTATCCTGCTGGGATATAACAATAAATAAAAGTCCCTGCGGTCATGGAACTTAACATGCTAGCTGGGCAGTGGTAAGTGCTATAGAGAAAAATAAAATCAGGGTAAGGGGTGGGGAGGAGGTTGTTTTTTACAGGGTGATAAGGGAAGGTCACTCCATAAGCTGATATTTGAGCAGAGACCAAAAGAAAGCAAGCCAGGTGGTTATCTGAGGAGGTGTTTCAGGCAGAGGGAATATTAAGTGCACAGGCCTGGAGGTGGGAATATAGCTGGTGTGTTTTTGGAGCAACAAGGACCAGTGTGGCTAGAATGGAGTAAGCAACGGAGAATTTTGGGAGAGAGGACAAGGCTATGTTTATGGGTGAAGTAGATCACGTAGGGCTTTGCGTTTAAATCGGTAGTGTTGGGACTACAGATAGGCCATTTGGAACTTTGGAGAAAATTAAGCTGGATTCACCCTACTCTAATATTTTGATTATCTGATATTTAATTGTAAAAATTAAAATCCTAAAATGACTAAGAAGAATTGGATGAGGGGTACCTGGCTGGCTTAGCTGGTAGAGCATGTGACTCTTGATGTCAGGGTTGTAGGTTTCAGCTCTGGCTTGGGTGTAGGGATTACTTTTAAAAAAAAGTAAAAAGAATAGCTTGGGAAAAAAGAAATATGCATGAATATATTTTTAATTTATTTTTCAATTCTTCTAACGTTTATTGATCTTTTTTAAAACTTGGAGTACAAATGGCATACAATATTAGTTTGAAGTATACAACCTAGGGATTCTACATTTGCATACGTTGCAAACTGTCACAGTAAGTCTGGTTACTATCTGTCATCATTCAAGTTAATACAATATTATTGATTGCATTTCCTGTACTGTACATTATGTCCCCATGATTTATTTTATACATTATATCCCCATGATTTATTTTATACCTCTTGGTAGTTTGTACCTCTTGATCCCCTTCACCCATTTTGCTGCCCTGCACACCCTCATGCCAACCCTTTTCCATCTCTGTTCTCTGTATCTGTGAATTTGGGTTTTGTTTTGTTTGGTTGGTTTTTTAGATTCCACCTAAGAGTGAAATCACTTGGTATTTGTCTTTCTCTGACTTATTTCAGCAGTATAATATCCTCTAGGTCCATCCATGTTGTTGCAAGTGGCAAGATTTCGTTACTGGTTGTTGTTTTTTTTTTTTTAACCCCTGGCTGAGTAGTAGTCCAGTGTGTGTGTGAGTGTGAGTGTGTGTGTGTGTGTGTGTGTACACACACCACATTTTAATCCATTCATCTATCATTGGACACTTGACTTGGTTCTTGTAAATAATGGTGCAATGAACATCGGGTTGCGTATATCTTTTCACATTAGTGTTTTCATTTTCTTCAGATTGATACTCCAAAGTGGTATTGCTGGATCCAGTTCTATTTTTAATTTTTTGAGGAACCTCAGTACCTTTTTCTGTAGTGGCTGCGCTGATTTACACTCCCACCAACAGTGCACAAGAGTTCCTTTTCTCTACATCTTGTCCAGTACTTGTTATTTCTTGTCTTTTTGATAATAGCCATTCTGACAGGTGTGATGTGATACTTCATTGTAGTTTTCAGTTGCATTTCACTGATGATTAGTGATGTGAGCATCTTTTCATGTGCCTCTTGGCCATTTGTATGTTTTCTTTGGAAAAATGTTTATTTAGATCCTCTGCTTATTTTTTAATTGGACTTTTTTTGTTACTGAGTTGTATGCGTTCTTTATTCTGGGTATTAACCTCTTGTTGGATGTATAATTTGCAGATATTTTCTCCCATTCAGTAGGTTGCCTTGAATATACTTTTTAATATTTGCATGGTGATAGTCCTGAAACCAAAAAGATTAAAAAATTTTTTTATATTTGATTACTTGAAATTAAAAACTTTTCATGATAAAGTCAGAGAGCAAACTAGAAAAATATTGCCAGTACATTGCAACATATTTTTCTTAATGTCCAAAGAGCTTGCAGAAGTTAGTGAAAGAAAACTAGTAGAACAATGAGCAAAAGAAACGGAACAAGAACTTTCCAGAAAAGGAAATGAATGGCCAATAAACAAATGCAGAATATTGGTATTAAATAAAAATAGACCCTGATCAGAGGATTGATAGAAACCATGCCTGGATTTCTGACCCATAGAAACTTAAATAACAAATATGTGTGGTGGTGTTTTTCAGGAAAGTAAATCAGAACAAGGAAATGTTGTATTTTATTTATCAGATTAGCAAAAATTAACAAAATGGGTAATATCTAGAAATATCTTTTTGGGTAATATGTATGTTACATAAAATTTGCCATTTTAACTGTTTTTAAGTGTTCAGTTTGGTGGCATTAAGTACATTCACATTGTCATGTAACCATCACCACCATCTGTCTCCAGAACTTTTTCTTTTTCTAAAACTAAAACTCTGTACCCATTAAGCACTGACTCCACTTTGCTCCTTCCCCAGCCCCTGACAACCACCATTCTACCTTTTTGTCTTTATGAATTTGATCTACTTCATGTAACTGGAATCCTACATTTGTCCTTTTGTGATTGGCTTATTTCATTTAGCACAGTGTCTTCAGGGTTCATCCAGGCTGTAGCGTGTGTCTGAATTTCCTTCCTTTTTAAAGCTGAATAATAACCTGCTGCATGTATAGACCACATTTTGTTTATCTGGTCATCCATCAATGGACACTTAGGTTGTTTCCATATCTTGTCTGTTGTGAGTAATGCTGCTATGTACTAATACCTGTTTGAGACCCTGGTTTCATTTCTTTTGAGTATACATTCAGAAGTGGAATTGCTGGATCGTATGGTAATTTTATGTTTAGTATTTTTGAGGGACCACCATACTATTTTCCAGTTGTGTATTTTAGTACGTATATAATTGTTGTAACCACCACCTAAATCAGGATACAGAGCAGTTACATCACAAACAACTTTTTCTTGCTGTTCTTTAGTAGTCAGTTCTTGTTAGTGGAAAAGAGAACAGAATTAAATCCTCAGAGAACAAAGAGTAAAAGAGAAACTGGAGGATGCTTAGCTTTAGGAGACCCTCTTTTCTGTAGATGGTATGTAGTGGATTGTGGTGTACCCTCCTCATCTATCTTCAGTGGCCTGGAGAGCTGTCTTGCCCAAAGTCTTGTCATCTTAGGATGGCTAGCATTTAGGGACTGATCTATGGGGGAATCATGGCTTCCTCACCCCAACTTGGCCAGCTCCAGACTTCCCCATGGTTTCAGCTGAGGCTTTGTTGGAGCTCTTTCACCGCTCAGCTTCTTTCTCTGCCCACTCCTTCTTTCTTCTAACAGGTGTTTTGCCAAGAGCGCACCCTTTTAAACACCTATGTGTTAATCTCCATTTCACAGTCTGCTTCCCAGAGAACCCAATTTATGGCACAATTTTGTTAATTTGCACAATTTATAAATGCAAAGCAAAAAATGAATGACGCTTGAAGAGTATTTTTATGTATTAGAACCTAGAAAAAAATATCACCACCTGGATAGTACAACTTTTCATAAGCAAGAGTAGAAATTTTTGAACATGCATATCTTATGTTTTTCTTATCCTTCTGATCTAAAACTGATGTCTTCATATAGAAAAAATGTACAGGCTCACTTCTGGCTAAGAGCTCATAGAGCATGCAGTGTATTTTTGGTTTCTGTGAAAGAGGCTAATTCTAATCTGGTGCTGTTCTTCTCTTTAATAGAACCACAGAATAAAAGAACTCCAGACTTACCTGAGGAAGAATATGTAAAGGAAGAGATCAAGGAGAATGATGAAGCAGTCAAAAAGATGCTTGTAGAAGCCACCCGGGAGTTTGAGGAGATTGTGGTATGTTGACTATATTTAACTTATTTCCCTGCTTCCATTCTTTTTTAAAATTGGTTATCGCATTTACTCTTTTTGTACCTAAGGCCCAGTGGGATAAGGGCAGGGGTGGGGGAGAGGGAGAATAGAAAGTGGGACTGATCTTGGTTTCAGGCATGTAGCTTTTAGGTTTTGGTAGGAAAACTTCAGAGGGGGAGAGGGAGAAGAATTGGGAGAATTATTATTTATTTTATTTTTA